GACCGTTTCACTCCGTTCTTTCGCCATTTCCCCACTATACAGCGCCCTACTAGCATTTTAGGCTAAGTAGGAAACCATCGTGCCAACTGCCTTTAATGATTAATTGACATTTGATACTAATGTGCCTTATGAGGTTTCCATGTGGAACCATTTATTTTCAGCCTGTTTTTTCGATGAAATCGCCTTCTTAAGTGGCCTAGAATGAATTCGAGTTAAAGGAAATGAAAGCTTCCCGGCTAAGCGTCTACCTCTGACCTCAAAACGCTCTTGGGCTTCTGAATAAGACGACCGCTTGAAAACGGTTTTACCAAAAACCTCCTGAAACACTACAGGGCTAATTATCCAAGCAAACTAACATGCCCAGGCTACCAATCCCTTTGTGGGAAGCGGCACACTCCATATGGAAAAGCAGTGGTTAATTGGATGCCATGTGGCCTATATAATGAATACGGGAGCCGGCTGACGTAAAAGTCAGTTTTCTTATCCTCCCAGAACAATCTGGTACCAATCCGTGTTTCCCGGGGAGTGGATGGCCTGATTAGCCTGAGCGGAAGCGATGCGGGGTTTGACCCCGGACTTTGAACGTGGAGAGCATAATGCTCGCCCACAAACTATGAGAATATTTACTTCTCATTTTTGAAAAGTTAAAAAAAAACAAAATATTCGACATTTTCAAACTCTTCAGCATTATCTTTGAGGCCAACTTATACTTGGCCTTCTACCCTAGCTCGAGTGAGGGGGATACAACGGAGCCATCTCCGCGTTACCAGCCTTCCACAAGTCCTCAGTAACCTAACAATGACCCCGTTCTCCTCCTTGAAAACATCCTAGGACTACGGAATCTGCCGCTCTATGGAACCCTGATGGAGCGCTCTCCAGGACATAGTTATTACTGGCCCAGGTCCACATCAACAGTTTTTCTGCCCTCGGAAAAATGAGTAGGTGCACCTCTGGCTATGATCTGAACGTGTAGAGGATCTTTCAAAACGGTCATCTACCGCAGATAGGGTACAGCATCGGAAC